ACAATTTCTTATCAAAAGAACCGCATTTGGCCATTTGTCCACTTTGTCGATATTGATATAAGAAATACTATGAAAATTGAAAGATTTAATGGTAATATTTCAATGTCAATCAATTAGAGAATAATTCTATTATTATTACATCATAAAATGTTAAGTACAATTAATTATTTTTTTAAGAATTTTTATTTTTAAATTAAATAGATCATGTCTACAATAAATCAATATTTTTGAGCTGCAGTTAAACTTAAAACAATTAAGAAAATTGAAAAAATTAACTTATTTTCTTGATTTCTAATTAAATTATTCAATTTTTTTACTAATTATTAATTAAACAAATATTAAATTAAATAATAATTAGTTTTGTATATAAATACAAATAATAATAAACAAACATTATAAGATACAAATGACTTTTTCAAATTATGTGAGTAATTTGAAGAATTTATCTTAATTTTTTTCTTTAATTTAAAAAGAATCATTAATTGTGAAAAATAATTTGTATCTAAATTACATCAAATAAAAATTAACTTCGAGCTGCTGCATTTATCACGATAATCGATAGACGTATTTTCGTATATAGAAATGTAGAAACTTCATTTGTATTACGGTTTATTACAGAATAGAATTTCATGGACGGAGGCAGAGATCCTTCAACTGACAGGTATAGCGTGAAATATTATTATGGAGAATTCGTTAGCATGCACACTGTAAATATAGATTTAGAAGTAAAAATTTTCACCTTCTTGCTCTTCTGGCTACGGCACAAACTGAAACAATGTTTATTTTCGCGTCCATCCAGAAAGGATGATAATTAATAATCCATACTATTGCTCCTCTGTCCAGATGTTAGCGTAAAAATAGCTAAAACTTTATATTTAGAGTCGTCCTACCGTTCGTTCCTCGCGCGACATCACAATAACTAATGATCGCTTTCGGCAAATGACACTCCAAACAACATGCCACCGACGAAAGACGACTGTCTTTTCTTCTTTCACGACAATTATTCTATTTTTTTTTTCGTCGTGTACTTTGATTCTTTTAACATACACAAAATATACAACATTTAAAGTACATTGTATATTATACTTATTTACTCTTAATTAAATTACATCACATCATTATAATAAATTTAAGAATTTAAAAAATCAAAAGAAAAAATAAACTAGTCGTTTGTTTGAGATATTAATTATTTTATTTTATATAAATACATTATATAATCCTATTTAGGACTTAATCATAATCTTTCCATTGAAATTTCTTTTAAATGTGTTACAATATCTCAATAAAATTTAATTACAAATATTAATAAACTTTGTGAATTTTTGCTTTAATTGATAATAAAGCTTTGTGCGTTATTAATATTGACGTCATTTTATTATAACTAAATCAATTATCATTTTTAACTACTAATATTATTAGAAATTTCTCATATGTTTATTAAATTACATCACATCATCATAATAAATTTAAGAATTTAAAAAATCAAAAGAAAAAATAAACTAGTCGTTTATATGAGATATTAATTCTTTTATTTTATTATTAAATACATTATATAATCCTATTTAGGACTTAATCATAATCTTTCCATTGAAATTTCTTTTAAATGTGTTACAATATCTCAATAAAATTGAATTACAAATATTAATAAACTTTGTGAATTTTTGCTTTAATTGATAATAAAGCTTTGTGCGTTATTAATATTGACGTCATTTTAGTATAACTAAATCAATAATCATTTTTTAACTACTAATATTATTAGAAATTACTCATATTTTTAAATTTGTACATATTTCCATTAGTTCATTATTTTATTAATCTGCTTTATGTTATGCTTTATATTAATTAGTGAAGAAATGCACAGAATTTCTTCACTAATCAATATAAAGCAAATTTACAAATAACATAAATAACAATAATACTAAATTAAAGTGAGGATGTAAATCAATATTTATACTTTCATATTTTTTATGTTCATAGAAAGTTTCAACTCATGAATATTTCCATCATATCATTTTCAATAACATTATTATTTATTGAATTGAAAAAGTAAACAAGTCCAATCCAAGAAAATACTTACTTTTTCTTTAACAATTTTTATTGGCCCATTTAGGTCTAAATAATAGGGAACTTTGGGAAATTTGCATTTGCTAAAAGATTTGTTTTTAATTGACAATAAAGCTATGAAATTCGTAAAACTTATGGCAATTTTACTATAAGTCTATCTAT